CCCCAAAACCCCAAAACCCCAAAACCCCGTCTCTCAAACTCAATATTGTATATTACTTCGTTTATTATTGTGAGGGAGTTAGTCAGTAATAGTTTCCAATGCGCTCGAAGCAAAAGACACTGAATCTCTAAAAGAGAAGCAGTTGAAGATTCCTGATTTTGAATACTTGATCTATACTTCTAATTTATTTTGAATAGATTCTCTGAACTAATCATTCTTGTTCTGGATTCTCAAACTAGAGTTAGATTTGGCATTTTCACCTCCTAAGAAGAACAAAGTAAGGCTTTGAAGTAGAAGTATAGAATTCATAGATTCACAGCATTTTAATTTCAGGTATCGTGAGAGTGGCAAGTAAGATTATTATTCTTTATACTGAGCTTCAGATTATTTTGTAATTGCCATTGAATATTTAGAGAGCATAGAGAAATACTGAAAAGAGTATCTTCTCCATAATATTGACAAGCGATACTAGCAATTAAGAAAGGTGCAGCATTTTTAGTTGTGATCAGCAAGGCAACTAAGCAAAACCAGAAAGAGTATGAGCAAAACAAGTTACTAATGCAATATATCAATTAAACCATATTTGAAATTACTTTAGAATGTTATATTTATTAGAAGAGATCAAGAACATCAATGGTAGAACAAGGTTCCTACTGGTCGCTAACACTTATGGTAAACACTCATTCCTTCTAAATCAGATACTATGGTGAAATTTTAGAAAGCTAAGGAAAAGGTATTCCTTTGGTAAATTTGAAGAATCTTTCAAATGGTAAGTATTATTCTCAGCATTAATCCAAATCTTTCTGAGTACTCACAGAAGATTGAGCCTTAAGAAGCCACTGATTTAGAACTGATGCAAGTATCAAAGAAGACAGGCATTGATTCTGAGTGTGAGCTTCACTCTCTATTGGCTGTTGGAGATGTTCTTCACAATTCAAATAATCTCACAGAGGAGAGTCAAAGAAAGATCATTGGAGTTTTAGGTGCGCTAGCAAAGTCCTATAGATTTATATATTTCTATATTTTCCAACTTCAATATAAGAGAAGAGTTTTTGCTCAAACAAGTGTTAGGGATCAGTCAATTTTTCCTAGAACTTCCTATCCTATCAGAGGTTTCAAATCCTGTTGTTTGCAATAAATATCCTAGTCATTTCTACAATTTTTTTGATATTTCTACTCCCTTAAACAAAACTATACTGGTGAATAATATTTTGGAGGAGAAATATCAGAAAAATAATGAAAATTTAAGAATGGAAAACACTATTCTTAGTCCTTTGCTTCAACCATTTAGTTTCTTTCCTTTTTAAGATTTAATGAAGACTATTTAGATCATGGGGGTTGAGTCAGTTCGAGAGCTGGGTCATTTTGATAATTTAAGACTGGCTATCTTGGATTTGATTGCTCGATGGCTCCCCTAAAATTCCAGCTTCTAACTGATGGAATACCTGAGACTATCCGAGAAATCTGGAAAAAGTTTCTCCAGAATAGTTTCATCAAGAGAATCGAGTTTGAAGATAACCTTTTGCAGTTATGTTATCTCCTAGAGAGGGCTGAATTTTTGAATTTTTCTAAGCTGAGTTATGTATCAAGGATCTTCATATCTATTTTTGGGATGCTCAAAAATACTTTCTATGCTGTGATTGAGTACTTTACACAACCGTTACTGGCTAGAGTTGGTTCTCTTCTTCAAGGAATTCAAAATGACTATTTTTTATGATCACCAAATCTGGCATGAGGCAGAATATGAAGAGAAGGCCGCTTCTTTACAAGAACAAGGGCATTATCTCTGTAATTTTTATCCTTGGAACAAATTATAGTGTCAACTCTTCATTATTTAACCCAAATCAGAGCTAAAGCAACTAACAATGGTAGAACCTTGACCTATGATAAACAATGAAGCAGTTTTAAGAATTCAAAGACTCAAAGCTAAAGATTTAGGAGAGAACACAATCGCTATTAATGATAAGAAGAATATTAATGTTGAATTTGAGCAGGGCTTCTTCGATGGCTCAGAAGTCACAAATACTGATTATGTTGTAAAAATAACATCCTTATGTTTGGAAGCTCATCCCGTTAACTTCATATAGCTTTTCTCCCTTGTATTCTAATTCTGATACAATTTCTTTAATATTTGTTGATGAAAGCTAGAATGTGATTAATTCAATTATCAAAAGTTTTTAAGTTATCAATACCGAGTAACAAATTAAGCTCTGCTGGTACAGAAGTATGTGAAAACTATAAGTTTAGTTATCCTTCTAAAGGAGTTCAAAGCACTTATGTTAATCATTCAGTGGCCATCTTGCCTCAAACATCATTTTCTGATTGCTCAGTCTGTCAGTAGCAAATCTTCTAATCATGAGCTCAAAGACGTTTGGGACTTTTGTGCAAAAGGCAGAATTCAGTCAGATTCAGAGGTATTTTGAGATTTATCATCCATAGATATAAAATACAAGGAATGTGGTACAAAGATATCTTTAATTTATTACAAGGTTATATGCTTTTTTTGGGTACTCCTCCTTTTATTAGCCTTAATCTTAATCCAACTGTTATGCTATTTATTAATTTGTATAATTGAGAAATAGTTGGAAGTTCAAATTTTAATTAAAATCTTGGGGTTTTGGGGTTTTGGGGTTTTGGGG